CCTCTGGGCCTCCTGCACACACCATTCCTTTATCTGCTCCTCCTTTTTTCAATCCCATCCTTTACTTGAATGAACAAAGACTGGAGCAAAAGAAGAGAAAAAGTCAAACCCAAGAGGATTGTTGGTGCCAAAGGCTTGGAAGTTGGGGGTGATGCTATTTCTTTAGTCATTCCCTGTTGCTTAATAGTTGTCATGGATTGAATTGTGTCCCCAAAAAATATGTGTCAACTTGGCTGGGCCATGATTCTCAGTGGTTTGGCAGTTATATAATGATGTAAATTTGGCAGTTATGTAATGCTGTAATCATCCCACATGATGTGATCTGATGTGATCAGCCAATCACTTACAAGAGGATTAGGGAAGAATGTAGTAACCTAAATCAGGTCATAGCCCTGGGAGTTTCTCTAGAGATATGACCTGCATTATCTTTTATCTTCCAAACCAAAAATCAAACTCACTGCCATCAAGTAGATTCTGAGTCATAGCACCCACATGGGGTTTCCAAGGCTGAAAGTCTTTACAGAAGCAGACTGCCTCATCTTCCTTCCACAGAGTAGCTGGTGGGTTCAAACCACTGACTTTTTCGTTAGCAGCCAAATGCCTTAACCACTGCACCAGCAAACCTCCTTACCTTTTTTCTTATAAAAGATAAAAGGAGACAGAAATGAGCAGAGAGAGAGAGAGGGACCTTCTACCACCAAGAAAGAAGAGCTGGGGGTGGAAAGTGTCCTTTGGACCCAGGTCTCTATGCTGGGAATCTACTAGACCGAAGGGAAGATTGATGCCAAGACACATGGAGACCTCCAAAGAACATTAGGCCCACAGATACTGAAAGGAGGCAAGGACATCCTTCCTAAACCGAGGCAAAACAGAGAAAAAGCTCTCCCCTGGAGCTGGCACCCTGAATTAGGACTTGTAGCCTCCTAAACTGTGAGATAATAAATTTGTTTGTTAAAGCCATCCACTTGTGGTATTTCTGTAATAGCAGCACTAGATAACTAAGGCAATAGTACAAATCTAAACTCTTCAGATGGCCAACATTCTTGATAATCTTCCCCACTTAATTTCATTAACCCTCTTTCCCTACTCCTTATCAGGATCACTGATGATAGTCTTCTTACCAATTTTATCACCCCAGTTTCTGCTGTTTCTCTCAGTTGCTCTCAGAAGCACTCTTCTTTTTCTAGTCACTTAATACTGGTGTGATTCAGAGTTCCATCATGGACCCTATTCATTTTTCAATCTACACACATATAGTTTCCAATTACTACTTTAGTGCCCCACTTTAAATATGAGCAGACAACTAATGACTAACAGACACTTGAGGAAAGCCTCTAAAATGAAAGAGGGGCCAAAATTAAAAAAGAGAGTAAGATAAAGAATAGTTTAGAAGAAACACAGTCTATGCAAGGAGAAAAAAAAGTTCTATAAAACATCATAAATATCCTCAGAGAGAGAATAATGTATATCCATGAACCCCAAACAGAATACTTAAAAATGCAGAGAATGGAAAAGAGCTCTTAGAAACTAAAAAACATGAAAGCAAAAATGAAAAAGCAATAGAAAGACTGAGAAAATGTAAGAAATCTCTCAGAAAGTAAAGCAAGCAATGAAGGAGATAGAAAAAAGAGACAAATATAAGAGCATTAAAGGACTAGTGCATGAGGTTCAACATAAGAATAACAGGAGTTTCAGAAAGAGACAATGGAGATAATGGAGGGGAGAAAATCATAAAAAGTATATAATAATTCAATTTCCCATAATTGAAGGACATAAGTTTCCAGATTGAAAGGATCCACTGAGACCACACTAAAACATTTCAATGTAAGACTTCAGAATGCTAGAGAAGAAAAGACATTGCTAAAAGCTGTGGTGGTGTTGGGCAGGAACATAAAAACAGGCTTCCTACAAAGGATACAGAGTAAGAATGATTTCAGGCTTTTTAACAGCAACACCAAAAGTTAGAAGACAATGGAGGAATACCTTCAAAATTGTGAGGGTAAACAATTCTAGTATTTTATACCCAGCCATGTGGTCATACAGGGTAGAGCAAAGACATTTTCAGACTTATATGGTCCCAACAAATTAATCTCCCTGATACCCTTTCTCAAGAAGCTCCATCAAGATAAGAGTGTAGACCAAGAAAGATGAAGACAGAGGTTCCAGAAAATAGGAGATCAACACAAGAGACAGGCAAAAGGGAATCCCCAGGGTGGAAGTGAAGAGAGATGTCAACAGTGTGGAAGACCTAAAGATCAACCTTTCTAGACTGAAGCAGGTATGCAGGCTTTAGAAGAGTTCTTCAAGATGAAATAGATAAAATTCCTTATGTGTTTGTACATTCTGAGATGAGATTATCACAAGTGAGGGAGAATTTTCAGACAAGTTAGAATACTGTACATAGAAAGCTAAGCAAACAGAATACAAGTATTAATTACAGGGGAAAAATGGTACAAGAAATAAAAACAATCATAATATACCACGTGGCTCAGCTGGGAAGAGTATTAGTTTTTTATGTACAGTATGGGACAGTTCTACTCTGTCCTATAGGGTCACTATGAGTCAGAATCAACTCAATGGCAATGGGTTTTTATAGTAGAAATATAGGAGGAGGTTGGGTGATGAGGGTTAAAAGAGTGCTCCTCTTCAACCATGGGAAGTCAGTAGCTAACACCTAACCAGAAACATCAAGAAACAGCATTATTGAATGATATTCTGAGTTTGCAATAAGCAGCTCTGGTGGTGCAGTACCTAAGGCATTTCACTGCTAACCAGAAGGTTGGTTGGTTCAAACCCACCAGCTGCTCCACAGAAAAAAGATGGGGCAATCTACTCCCATAAAGAATTACCACCTCAAAAACCTAATGGGGGTCACTAAGAGTTGGAATCAACTTGATGGCTATGTTCTTTTGGTTTGATATGGAGGTATTCACAAAATTAAATAAAACTCTATCAAAAATGAAGAATGAAAGGAGTTGGGAGAGTACTGTTTTTTTATACAAGTCTTATAGAACTATTTGACTCTTTAATATATATCTATGACTTAAAAAAATGGAAGGAGTTACAGAAGAAGGCTACTAGATCAGTTAGGAGGCTGTAGTAATTTTCAAAGAGGAGAGAGTGGAAATGGGGACACAGAGATATGGAGAGACAACGAGAGAGATCTGAATTAGGTTTTCTCTATCCTCCCTTTTAAAAGCCTCCCTCCAGCCATACCTTCAATTCTCCCTGTAATTGACAGAACTCTTATCATCCCATACCAATCATCCCAAATGCCTAACAGAATCACTTTATAGGAGGCCAGTGAAGCTCTGGTAGCATAGTGCCTAAGGCACTTGACTGCTAACCAGAAGGCTGGTGGTTCAAACCCACCAGCCACTCCTCGGAAGGAAGGTTGGGCAATCTACTTCCGTAGTGATACTGCCTCAGAAACCCAAGGAAGGGTTGCTATGAGTCGGGTCCGACTCGACGGCACATAACAACAACAACAATGAAGTGAAGAGTGGGCAGGAGCCTAGGAATGTGGACTAGAGGGGCGCTGGAGTACAAGAACACCCTAAGAAGAGCTGGTAAGATCTGGGTCGAGGTAAGAGGAATAACGTAAAACAAACTCTGAAAACCAAAGACAAAACAAGATGAACCCAGATAGATTTTGGAAATGTTTCCTAATTTATATCTTTTTCTCCTGCATTAATGTTCAAAGTGTTATTTATTTGTATTTTGAAGAAATAACATACGGACATAGCACAAAATTCAGAAGACCCAAAATGATACATGGGAAAAACAATCTCTCCTTCCTCTGTCCCCTGGCCATCCAATTTCTCTCCCCAGAGGCAACTACTATCTCTGCTATTCCATGCATCCTTCCAGCTTCTTTGACACAGTTCTGCCTTACACAAGTTCCAGCTTTTGCAGCGTTTACTATATATGTGTGTATACGTACAAATATACGTATATATGTAAAACATCTGATGAATCAATTCCAAAGGGTTGATAGCGATTATGTCAGTCAGTCCATGGACTGTATTTTTATGTGTATTTCCCAATGTTCCACAACAAACTTGCATGACTTGTATAATAAAATATCATAGAAGTTGGGAAGAAATAAACCTCCTTGTGTCCTCATGGATCCTAAAAGTTTGTTTTGGTTTTGTTGAACTTTTTTCAACAAAAGGCATGCCATACTGAAAATAAAGACTTTGTGACACTGGAAAAGAAAAGCATTAGTTAGCTAACCTGATTTTTAGCATTGTAGCAATTCTCCTTCCCAAACCCACTGATTTCAAGTTGATTCTGACTCACAGTGACCCTGCAGGACAAGAAAACTGCCCCACAGGGTTTCCAAGACTGCAATAATCTTTACAGAAGCAAACTGCCTCACCTTTCTCCACAGGAACCGCTGGTGGGTTCCATCCTCCCACTTTTTGGTTAGGAGCAGAATGCTTTAACCACTGTACCACCAGAGCAAATAATACCACTAGGTGGCAGTCTGTTCTATTTAGTCCCCTGCCTGCCTCAGTCCTGCATCCAGGCGACGCTTGCTTCAGGTATTTGAGGTCTTTGGGTCCCAAACATGGCAGATAAGCCTGACGGGCCAAGCTGGGCCCCTCTCCAGACTCAGCCCATTCAGCTTTCTTTTCCCTTATATTCAACTGGCCAGAGCCAAGACTCTGGCCCGCTGAGTATGAAAATCAAGTTGGGCACAGTAGCAACATTCACTGGTCAGAACACTCATGAAAGGGCCTAAAGTGGCTTGAGATTATCATCTCATCAACTCCTCTAGCCAACACCACAAGAGGCTGTAGTCATTATCATTTATTTTTCACTCTCAACAAAGCGGTGGAAAAGCCCCTCCCTCATTTCTGACCTTTCAGTGCTTGAGGAATATTTGCCCCTAACCCTTCCTCCGAGAGGCCTCTGACTATGGAGGTAGTATCTGAGGAGTCCTTGATCTGGGGGGCGGAGGGAGAAACTTAACTAGAAAGATCTTCAAGGGATCTTCACCTTCCTGCCAGCTTTCTCATGGCCTCTCCTTCAAAGCGGAAGGAATGCCAGCCCTCTGCTTCAGTCAGATCTTGGGCTCCTAGAGCCTTGTATAGATCCATGGCCTTCTTGTTCCAGTCCAGTACTGCCAGGCGTAGCTGGGAGCAGCCCTTATCCAGGGCCACCTGTGAGGGAAGACATCAGTCACTTTTCTGGGTTCAAAAAAGGAAAAAGCTTTCTCGCCCCTTTTAATTCAGGTGCCCCCTATATACCCTTGCTTCTCCAGAACCTAGTTTGTAACCCCTATCCTAGCCAGACCCTCACAGCCTTCCTCACCTCAGCCACCTTTTTGATTATTTTGGAACCAATCCCCTGACCTGTTGTGGGGAAAAAGGCGAAAAGAGCGATTGTTTGAGTTGAAAGTGACCAGAAAAGGCTGTAGTCTGGGATCAGGGGACAGGTGATTGGGGTGGGGTCTGTGGGTTGCTTTGCTCCCTCCCCAGCTCAGCCCAGTACCCCTATATTCCGGCATCACGTAGATGTCTTCCAGATACACATTGCGTCCCTTCCATGTACTGTAGGTGAAATAGTACAGCCCATAGCCCACCACATGCAGCCCTGAGAGAGAAAGAGAAAGGAAGGGTAAGGCCTCCAGGAGTATGGGGGAAAGGCCTTGGAGACTGACTGGAGAGTTGGATGCGCCTACCTTGTGGCTCATCCTGAGCCGGAAGAATCTCTGCTATCACACAGTGATAGAAAGGGTTCTCTCCAAAACCATCTATTCTCAGGGCTGTAGATTAGAGTTATGATCAGAGACAGAAGAAAAAGATCTTGAGAGGAGGCCAGACCAGGTGCTGCTGACTAGGGACCCGTTCCTCACTTCCGCCCCAACCTCCTTCAGTACCCAGGTACCGAACCCTTACCATCTTCACTGATCTTCACCTGATCCAAGAGTTTCTCATACTCAGCCAGTTCCTATGGAGCGAGGACAGTATCTAGATGAGGGCAGCACGATTCTGCTGATCCCCTAGTGGGGCCCCAAGTCCACTCCTCCCCTTTTCCTCCCACCCCTCCCGCTTCCGGCCATGCCACTCAGCCCCCCTCTGCGACCCTGGCTTCCAATCCACGGCCTTCACCCGAATCAGCCTCAGAATGTCTCCACAGTCTCCCTCCTCGGCCTCTCGGATCCGCACGGAAGCCATCCCATTCCCCGCGATCTGAACCAAAATCCAGGACCCTCGTCCTGCAGGATTGGGAGAAGGGCAAGCGGGCCCTTTAAAGGGCCTACAAGCTCTTATCCAGAAAAGCCGGAGGGGGTAGTGGTGGGCACTGGAGAAGAGGAGGCCAGGTTCCTGGAACAAGGTGATCTGTGATCCGGCAGAGGGCGTGGCCCGGAGAGGTGGTCACACAGTCGTGGTAGCCCCTAAATTCTGCCCCAGCCAGCACACACCGCCAACCAATCAGCTTACAGAGGAGGCGCAGCCCCTCCCCCGGCCCCGCCCCTGATCGCCGGGTCTTGTGACTGGGTGCCCCGTGCCCCCGCAGCTATCAAGGCTAGGCCACTGGAGGTGTCTGCATGTTGGTGTCTGTGTGCACCAGACTCGGTGGGAGGCACTCAAAAATGACCCCCGACCCATCTTTTTTAAAAATACTTTCTTTTTTAAAATTGTGGTGAAAATATAAAACCAAAGAAAACCAAGCTCACTACCGTTGAGTCGAATTCGACTCATAGCCACTCCTCTTTGGGTTTCCAAGGCAGTATCACTACAGAAATAGATTGCCCAATTTGCCTTCCAAGGAGTGGCTGGCGGGTTTGAACTGCCAGCCTTCTGGTTAGCAGTCAAATGCCTTAGGCCCTACGCCACCAGAAAATATACATACCTGAATATTCACTAGTACAACTTCCACATTTCCGATTCAATGACGTTACATTTTTCATGTTGCGACACCACTATCGCTATTCTTTTGCAAACTATTCCACCACCATTAACATAAACTCAATGTCCCCCAAACAAAAAGTAGCCCCCCTTGTTTAACTGAAGTATGCAGTGGGTGCCTACTTTGCTCTGTCCTCTTGCTTTCCCCCTTCCACACACACACACTGTTGAGCCCTAAGACCTGCAGCTCTGAAAACTTTTTCCTCAGCTTTTTGTGTAGCTCAAAGTGTAACCTCTCTGCTGGCCAGTTGAATTTTTACATGGATCAGAGAGAGAGTAATAGGCCTTCTCCAGGTAAAATGTTAGGCCATGTAACAAACGGGTGAAAAAAAAAAATTAGTCTGTTGCCATCTAGCCCATTTTGATTCCTAGCCACCCTATAGCACAGAGTAGAAATGCCCCATAGGGTTTCCAGGGCCGTAAATCTTTATGGAAGCAGACTGCCACATCTTTCTCCCACAGAGCCCAGAGCAGCTGATAAGGGAAGATAATTGGGAGTGAGGAGAGGGAGTGGGAAAGTATCCATTGAATTGTACAAAGAGGGAACTGTCTTCCTGTGAAGCAAGCCTCAGAGGCCTGGGAAAATCCTGAGGCTAGGCACTATGCCTACATTATCTCAAATAATCCTCATGCACAGTAACCCTATAAAGTAGCTATGATTTTCCCCATTTTACAGAGACACTGAAACGCAAAGTGACATGACTTGCCCAAGGTCATCCAGCTAAATGTTTGCGATTCCATGCCTCAGCTGTTGCCCTGATGGAGACCATCCTTGGGGAGCAGGGCTGGAGCTGGACAATTTCCAAACTTGAGGCCTGTGGAAGCAGGCTCTTCAGGGGAGTAGAAGACGAGAAGGACCCAGATCATATTCTAGAGAGTGGAAGGGAAATGGGGTGTCCTCTCCCAGCTCGTAAATGTTCTCCAGTGGGGGAAGATTGTGGAAGGATCCTGTCTCTTGCCCTATTTGGCCCCAAAGGGGCTGCAGAGTCAGTGTCCCTGTCTCCTGCCTTCTTTTCCCTCCCTTCCTCCCGTGGCCAATCTTTAAGGCCGCACCACTTGTGCGCACAACTGCCTGTTCCCCCACGCATTCTCCCTTGGGTTATCTGAGCCACAGAGAAGAAGGAAGCCGGCTATGGAGGGAAGAGGTGCACAGACCATGGTGCATCGGCTGCTGCTGCTGCTGCTGCTGCTGCCGCCGCCGCCACTTCACACTCACCAGGTACTGGCTCTGAGACCTTTTCTCCCCACGCAGGTACAGCGGTGGGACAAGCACTGAGCCCATGTGTGTGTTTAAATGAGCTACGCTTCAGCTCTGCCCTCTTCCCTTCTCTTTTCCTCTGGCCCAGCAGCTGGGCCTCTCCCTGTCTGTCTGTATATGTCCTTTCATCAGCTTTTTCATTTTTCTGATAGAGGACTCAGGACTCTCCTGCTCTGCATCTCAACAATGGCCCAGGACACGAGCCTGTCATCATCATCACCTTTGACATCAGCAAGATCACAAAGTATGGCGTCAACCAGCCCCTTGACCCAGCCCCCCTCTTTCTTCGTCAGCTCTTCTCCTTTCCCTGTCTCCCTGCCCTGCCATCTTTCTTTCTGAACTCCACCTCCCCCAACTCCACATTCACCCACAAAGGGCATAGCCATACATAGTCCTTTCTTCTATGTCCTTCCAGAACCTCATCCTCCTTTGAGCTGCGAACATGGGATCCAGAGGGAGTGATTTTTTATGGGGATACCAACCCTAATGATGACTGGTTTATGCTGGGACTTCGGGATGGCAGACCTGAGATCCAATTGCATAATCACTGGGCCCAACTTACAGTGGGCACCGGGCCCCGACTGGATGATGGGAGGTGGCACCAGGTAAGCCAGCACTGGTCCTAAGAGACGAGATGTCTAGAGCTGTTCCAAAGACGAAGGAGAATGGAGTTAAGTTATCAGGCATCTTTTTATCATTGTCATCTCATTTAACCCACATGGTACCCCCCCCATGAGATAGCTATTCTTGTCCCTGTTTTTCAGATGGAAACTCTGAGGCTCTGTCTGCATATAAGTGGCAAAGCCTGAGTAAGCTAAGGATACCAGCTGACTTTTTTTTCTTTAAACTTTATTTATCTTGTTGTTGTTGTTGCAAGTATACCCAGCAAAGCATACAGCAATTCAACAATTTCTCCATGTACAATTCAGTGACACTGGTTACATTCTTTGAGTTATGTAACCATGCTCACCTTCCTTTTCTTAGTTGTTCTTCCCTCATTGACATAAAGTCACTGCCCTCTATGGTTCCTATCCAGTCTTTTGAGGTTGCCCTTGTCAGTTTGATCTCATATAGGCAGTTCTTGAAAGAGCATTGTGGGGTGGGGGTGGGGAAGAACATTGTGGTGCAGTGAATTGCTCCTTGTGGTTCTTCTAGCCCGTAGTCTTTGTAATTCCCACCAAAGGACTGGGTGAGATTATGCAAACATGAAGTGCTTGTGGCCCCACCAAGGGAACTGGGGAGCTTGCTAATAATAAAAATAAGATGCATGGCACCCTTATGGGAGTAAGACCATGCAAATGAGGTATATGAGGATTGGTCAGTGTATGAGGTATAAAAGGATTGGTCAGTTTTGCCATCCCAGAGGCAGAAAGTGGTGGTGGTGGTAGTGGGGCAGATCTCACTACCATCAAGAAAGAAGCCAGGAGTGGATCTCAGGTCTTTGGACCTGAGATCCCTGCATGAACTCTTCTTCACCCAGGAGACATAGGGAGAGCTGTAACACTTTGGTGAGAAACAGCAGCAGAAAAATGGTGGCAGCAGAACCAGGAGACATGACAGGAGACAGCATGATGAGCTTGCCGGCACACAGAGTGAAATAGCTGAATGCCTTCAGACAGGAGGATTGTTGGCAGCCTAGGGTCTCCAAGCACTTATCTGTGGACCTAGGCTTGCTGACCCACTGAGTGAGTGGAGAAGAAAGCTGAGTGCCTGTAGGCAGAGGCTTACTGGCAGAGTGGGGTACCTCTAGTCATATTTTGGCAGAGCCAGAAGAGTTTGTAACACCCAAGCAGGCCATGGGGCTGAGGGCCAGAGAGAAACCTGCTTTTGGGCAGGCTATGGGGAGGCTGTCTTAATCAAAAAACTATATCCTGAGTGTTCCAGATCGAGAATTGTAACCTGTTACTTCCCTAAGAAACCCTATAATCATGAGCATTATCTGTGAGTTCTGTGTGGCCATTGCAATGAATTATCAAACCTAATAGAGAAGTAGAGAGTGCCATGGGAGGGATGGTTGGTGTCAGAACTGGTGAATAGTTTGGAGGGTGGTGGCATGTCTGATCTCTGCCTCATAGGAATCAGCCTTGGGCTGTTGATGTCGATTTTGCTCCTCCTCCCCACTTGTGAAGTTACAGTAAGTCAAACGCTACAGCCCCCATGCCATTTCTGCAAGTATAATGCTTGGGACAAACCCTTTTTTACTAGTTAAGCTAAACTATTTTGGGATTTTAATAAGACGTCAAGGGTCACTTTGATTTAAGGTTTAAAGATTGTCTAGGGCAATAGTTTCAGGGGTTCATCCACCTTCTGTGACTCCAGAAAGTCTAAACTAAAAAAAAAAAAAAACCTCACTGCTGTTGACTAGGATCCAACTCATAATGACCTCTCCTTGGGTTTCCAAGGTGTTATCACTATGGAAGTAGATTGCCCAACCTTCCTTCCGAGGAGTGCCTGGTGGGTCTAGAATCCGTAAAATTCTCTTCTGGATTTTCTCCTTTTTTATCAGGATTCTTGTATGGAATCTTTGATCAAAATATTCAGCAATTGTAGCCAGGCACTTCCCAGTTCTTCTGATCTCCTGGCAAAGGAGGGAGTTATTCATGGAGGCAATTAGTCACACATTCCACATCCCCCTCCTAGTTCTGACTTTCCTTCTTCTTCTGTTTTCCAGGTGACTAGAGACCAATTGTTGTGCCTTAGATGGCCACTTGTAAGCTTTTAAGACCTCAGGCACTACATAATGAACTAGGAGGTAGAACAGAAGCACTGAACATGTTATTTGGCCAATTAACTTGGATGCCCCATGAAACCATGACCCTAAACCTCAAAACCAAAGAACCAAATCCCATGAGGTGTTTGTACATAAGCAGCCTCAACAGCTGCTCTTCCTTTTGTCATTGCTGTAAATCTATCTCGTGCACAACTTTTGCCAATTCAACTTTTTATAGGTATATAACTTATTAACAGCAATTACAATAATTGGCTGTGCAACCCTACCCTTAATATTATTTTTCCATTATCATTAATGCCGTTTTACTCCCTCCCTCCCATTCCTGGTAATCGGTAATAAACTTTGGTCTCAATAGTTTTGCCTTTTCTTGTCTTTCCATGTAAGTGAGATTATGCAATACTTGTCCTTTTGTGATTGACTTATTTTGCTCAGCATAGTGTCTTTGTGCGCCATCCATACTGAAGCATGTATCAAAACTTCTTTTCTCAATAACAAATGCTGGCGAGGTTGTGGAGAGATTGGGACTCTCATACACTGCTGGTGGGACTGTAAAATGGTACAACCATTGTGGAAAGCAGTATGGCGATTCCTTCAAAAGTTGGAGATACAAATACCATTTGACCCAGCCATCCCATTACTAGGTATATACCCTAAAGAAGTGAGAGCCATAACAAGAACAGATATATGCACGCCGATGTTCATCGCAGCACTATTTACAATAGCCAAAACTTGGAAACAACCTAGATGTCCAACAACTGAGGAATGGATAACCAAACTTTGGTACATTCACACAATGGAATACTATGCAACGCTAAAGAATAATGTAGAATCTGCAGAACACCGCATAACGTGGATGAACTTGGAGGACATTATGCTGAGCGAAATAAGTCAGTCACAAAAGGACAAATATTGTATTAGTCCGTTATTGTAAAAGTTAAGGAAATGTTTATATATTGGAGGACATTTTCTTTGTTGGTTACCAGGGGTGGGAGGGAAGGGGAGGGAATGCTGTTAGCTAGATAGAGATAAATATTGATTTGGGTGAAGAGAAGGGCAATGTACCAAATGTGAGTGACCAATATGGCAACATTGAGGATGAGAAAGACAGAGAGAGTTACATGGGCAGTACAAACAACAAATATGAACCCCTTTGTAAATACAATACTGAGTTGTTAATGAAAGCAAATATGGGTATAGGGACGGATAGATGGGTGAACAAGCTAAACAATTATGTATGTCTAAATGGAGAGTGTATCCAAGATCATATACAGGGTTGGCAGAAAATGGGCCTCTCGAAGAGTATGAAGGGATGGACACTGGGAGGAGGTAACTATGGGGAGGAAGTGGGAGGGGAGCTGCTGCATTGTAAATTTTGGTCAATGACATGAGACAAAGTATATGTGAACTGCTGTATGAAAAGTGAATTTACTCTGTAAATCTTCACCCAAATCCTAAAAAAAAAAAAAAAAAAAAAAAACTTCTTTTCTCTTACTGACTGAGTAGTATTCTATTGTATGTGTGTACCATGTTTTGTTTATCCATTCATCACCGGAGCTCCTTTCAGCCATTCTAGTGAGAGAGTAAATTGTATCTCATTGTGGTTTTGATTGGCATCTCTCTGATGGCTAATGATGCCAAACATCTTTTCATGTGTTTGGTGGTCATTTGAATGTCCTCTTTGGTGAAATGTCTGTTCAATTTTTTGCCCATTTTATGATTAGGTTATTTTTCTTTTTGTTGTTATCAAAGTTCCATATATTTTTTGGTTATTAGATTCTTGTTGGATATATGATTTCTGAAGATATTTTCCCTGTTGGTAGCTTGTCTTTTTTGGTCTTTTTTGATGAACAAAAGTTTTTAGTTTTTATGAGGTCCTATTTATTTATTTTCTCTTTTGATAATTTGCTTTTGTTATATGAGATGAACCATTATTGAAAACGGAAGCCCTGGTGGTGTAGTGCCTAAAGCATTTGACTGCTAACCAGAAGGGTGGTGGTTCAAACCCACCAGCCACTCCTCAGAAGGAAACCCAAGGAGGGATTGCTATGAGTCGGGTCCGACTCGATGGCACATAACAACAACAATAGGCTGCCTAGGAAGAAAGTTGTGGAGGCAGGCTCTAGGGCCCTGATTCTGTTTTTCTCCTCCTTCCTGCAGATAGAAGTGAAGGTCGATGGGGGCTCTGTGCTACTGGAGGTGGACCAGGAGGAGGTATTGCGCCTGAGACAGGTCTCTGGGCCCCTGGCCAGAAAACCTCAGCACATCATGAAGATTGCACTGGGGGGTTTGGTATTCCCACCCTCCAAGCTCCGTCTGCCGGTAAAGTAACTGCATCACAGAGGTGGGAACAGTAGCCACAGGGGTCCTTGTCCACATTTCAGAAGAGAAGAGGGGAGAGAATGAGAGCTGGGTGGGTAAATACAAATGTTTGTGTCTCTGAGGGCAAGAAACTAGATAGGGAGGCTGGGCCTGAGGTTCAGTTGCCAAGATTCCAACATCCTCATACCTCTGCGCCCTCTTCCCCCAGCTGGTCCCTGCTCTGGATGGCTGCCTGCGCCGGGATATCTGGTTGGATCAGCAGGCCCAGACCTCAGTCTCTGCCCCCTCTAGCATCAGGAACTGTGCGGTAGACTCCCAACCTGGGATATTCTTCCCTCTAGGGACTCATGGAGAATTCAACCTCCAAGGTAAACGCTGTTTTCCCTCCGTGCCAAACTCCATGTCTGCCTTCTTCCAACTCCTTCTACTACTAGTCACCTCCCTCCGTGAAGCCTTAGCCTTGAGGCCTTAGGAGGATCTTTTCTTCCCTCAGACATCCCTCAGCCTCATGCAGAACCCTGGGCCTTCTCACTCAAGCTAGGGCTCCAGCTGGCAGCAGGCACTGGCCCCCTCCTTGCTCTTGGGACCCCAGAGAATTCGCCTTGGCTTAGCCTCCACCTCCAGGATCAAGTAAGAGGGGCTACTGTACCTGCCTTCAGGGAAGATGGGAGCAGTGGAAGAAAGGGGCATCTCCAAATTTCAACCTTAGGAGGGCTTATGGTTGGTACTGTGGGGACAGGGAAACATCTTGAAACTATACATAGCAAGCAAATAGCTTTTGCTTAGATTTACTTGGGGTGGTTGTGGTTTTTTAGAGAGTGAACTTGTTGTTGTTGTTGTTATGTGCCAGAGAGTGAACTAGTTGCTATAATCTAGCAAATTTCCACTCATGATGTTCTTATATGTATCAGAGTAGAACTGTGATCCAGAAGGTTTTCAGTGACTGAATTTTCAGAAATTGATTGCCAGGTCTTTCATCTGAGGTACCTCTGCATAGACTTGAACTTCCAACCTTTTGGTTAGTAGCCAAGCACATTACCTGTTTGCACCACTTTTTCGCAGGGACTCCATAGAGAGTGAAGCCAGGAAAATTGAGGCAGGATTTAAGTGGTAGGAATGACCCTGTAGGTGGAAGATATGGCTAAGAGGTGAATTAAGGCAACTAGGGGTGGGGCTGTGAGAAGTGGTCACAGTTCCTGGTTCATATTTTCCTTCCTTACTCTGCCCCACATTCTGCAGAAGCTGGTCCTGTTTCTTGGGTCTGGGCCGGGGCTGGATCTGCCCCTGGTCTCAGGACTCCCTCTTCAGCTGAAGCTGGGTATGACCAGAGTCGTCGTGAGCCAGGGTCCAAAGGAGGAGGTCCTTGCTCTGCCTCCCCTGGGTCTTGACCCTCTCTCCAACCTCTGGGCCCAGCCTCAGGGGAGCCTCTTCCTGGGGGCTGTACCAGGTAAGAGAGTGAAATTTGATGTCCTCAGCACACCACTGGAAACAACTAAACGGAGGCGAGAAAGTGGGAAGGGGAGCATTTTTGAGGGAAAGGGAACCTATGAGAGGAAAGAAGAAAAAGCCACAAGAAGGGGCAGATGGAGGGGCAATGGAAGAAGGAAGTTGAAAATTTAGTTTGGGAGAACTGGAATAATGGGGAAGCCTTCTGAGCTGCCTAATAGCACTTTTGTCCCACCTCCCTCTAGGAGAAGCCTCTTCTGCCTCCTTTTGCTTGGATGGTCTTTGGGCCCAAGACCAGAGGCTGGACATGGACCAGGCCCTGAACAGAAGCCGGGACATCTGGACTCACAGCTGTCCCCAGAGCCTAGGCCATGGCACTGATACCTCCCATTAAATCCTTGCCTAAAAACAACTTTGACTATTCCATCATTCATTCGTTTATTCAATAAATATTACTGTGCACCTGCAGTGTATTGGGGTAAGCATTGGGTTATATTAATGAGCAAAACCAACCCTGGTTCCTGCCCTCTTGGTGCTCACAGTTCCACAGGGAAGATAGGCATCCATCCAAGACTAACAAAAAAGTGTGTACTTGGAAACTCTGAGAGGTGGTGTAAGGGAGTGTGAAAGTTTGGAGATTAGAAGGCCCAGAAGCTAGTCTGGGCATCGGAGAACGCTTCTTTGAGGAAGTGTTGACTTCTTAGGTGAGATCCCAACATGCATGGACACACATACACACCAAAAGAATCAAACCCATTAACATTGAGCCAATTCTGACTCATGGCAATGCCATGTATTATAGAGTAGAACTGCTGTATAGAGTTTTCTTGGCTATAATCTTTATGGAAGCAGACTGCTAGGCTTTTATCCTGCCTGAGAAAGTTTGAACCACCAACCTCTAGGCTAGTGGTCAAGTGTGGACTGTTTGAGCCACCCAGAAACATTACATACAACACACACTCACATCAGATACAGGTCACTTTCTGAGACCCAGGAGCCCACCTCCTCCCCGGCGTCCACTCCCTTTAGAACTCTGGCTTCTTCCCTCCAAGGCTGGTCCCAAGAGATTAGGAGGGAAGGGAAGAGGTGGATTTTGTTGTCTCAGCTGATCAGTCTCTTTGAACTGGCCATTGCTGTCCAGGGAAGGAGCAGCAGGGGGCGTGAGAGGGTCATGGAGAGATGGGGGCAGGGGTTCTGGGAAAAGGGGTGGAGGCTGCAAGGAGAAAGAAAAAGGGAGGGGAACAGAGGGAGAAAGCTGCCTCTATCCTCCTCTTGGTCCACTTGCTGCATTCCCAGCCGAATTTGTCTCTACTCCATTAAACAAGAGCTGGCTTGTGCTGGTCCCAGCTGGAAAGAACAGATTCAGGAATATCTCTGTTAGTAAAAAAATATGGAGAACCAGCCTCAGTACCAGGCCCTGGAGAATCCTGGTGTCCCAGTCCTTCCCTGAATAGCCCTCTTGCCTCATCCCTGCGACCCTGGGAAACCCTCATGCCCAAGCTCCCAGCCCCCAGCTCCCAGTCCTCAGCCCTCTTGGGAATGCTGGTGTCCTGGTCCAAAACTCCCAGCCCCCTAGGAGGCCCTGGGGCTCCAGCCCTCAGCTCCCCCCTCTCCATCCTCAACCCTCTCAATAACTCTTAATCTCTCTTCCAGTCTCCAGACCCCTTGAGAATTCAGTGTCCCAATGTCCTGGCTTCTTACAAGGATCTTCCTACCAGTAACCCAGGCAACAGGGTGAGTCACTACTGGACCTTCTGTCCCCTTCTGTGGCGATCAGCCTGGACCTAAGTGATGCCAAAATAAAGAGGTTGCAGGAGACTCTCAGGAGTGGAAGATGCAAGTCTCAGGTCCCTTTTTGAACTCTCCCAATCTCAAGTCTTCAGGGTCTACAGCTGTCCGCCCCAGTCAGTAGTGTATTGTAGAGTAGTCCTTAGCCTGGCCAGGGAGCCCAAACCCAACTCTGGTTCCTGGGCAGTGTTCAGGATCCGCCTAGGCTGTTGGATATATTCATCCAATTGATCTTTACTGAGCACCTAAACCAAACTCACTGCTGTCAAGTCAATTTCAACTCATAGTGACCCCTCCTTGGGTTTCTGAGGCAGTATCACTATGGAAGTAGATTGCCCAACCTTCCTAGGAGTGGCTGGTTCAAACCACCAGCATTCTGGTTAGCAGTCAAATGTCTTAGGCACTAGGCCACCAGAGCACCTACTATTAAAAAAAAACAAACAAAAAAAAAACCAATACCATGGAGTTGATTACAACTCAGAGTGACCCTAAAGGATAGAGTAGAACTGCCCCCATAGGGTTCCCAAGGCTGTAAATCTTTACAGAAACAGACTGCCTCATCTTTCTCCTGTGGAGCAACTAGTGGGTTCAAATTGCTGACCTTTAGCAGCCATATGCTTTAAAAAATTTTTTTTAAAATTGTAATTTGGGTGAAGGTTTACAGAGCAAATTCATTTTCCGTACAGCAGTTCATACACATTTTGTTTCTTGGCATTGATTGTACTTCCCCACAATGTAAGGGCTCTCTTCCCACTTCCTCCCTGTAGTTACCTCTTCCCTGTGTCCTTCTTTCCCATGCATTCCTGCCCTAGTATGCCACCAAACCAAAAAAGAGAAAAAAAAAAAAAGCCTACCCATATGTGGTAGTTAAATTTGTATGTCAGTTTGGCTGGGCCTGGTTGAGTGGCTGGGCAGCTGGTGGTAGTTATTCCCCTTGATGAGAATGGCAATCAACTCCATGATGGGATCTACCACAAGCAGCTGTGTAGCTGCTTTTGGGATGTGGTCTGCTTCCTGTATATAAGGAGAAGCCTTGGGGATAGTTTCTAGCTTATGGCACGCTTGGACCCTGCATGTAGCCATGCCGTTGTTCAGCTGTCTGCCATGCTCTGCCGACCTTGGGACTTACAATAGACTTAAATTAATGGCCTGCCATGTAGTTTGGTAACATCGGGACTGTGCCTTTTTACTTGTCAACCTTGGGTTGGCAGCCTCAGCAGTCAGCAGCTATCTGAGTGAAGAAATACCTCTAGCTCCAGTGGGCCAGGAGCAGGAGGCAGAGCTGAAGCCCAAGATTGAGAGGCTTTCACCCAGCCCCTAGAGCCTGGCCCTTTGAACGTGGACTTAAAGCCTCCACACTGTAAGAGAATAAACTCATTTGTTAAGCCATCCCATTTGCGGTATATTCTTGTCAGAGCGGCACTAGGTAACCAGAACACCATATCTCTGTATCTCCATTTCCACTATCACCTCTTCTTGAAAATTACCACAGCCTCCTAACTGATCTAGTAGCCTCCTTCTGTAACTTCTTCCTTCTATTTTTTCAGTGTCATAGACATAATATTAAAGAGTCAAATAGTTCTACAAGATTTATATAAAAAAACAGTACTTCCCCAACTCCTCTCACTCTTCAAAGATAGTCACTTTCAATGAGTTTTATTTAATTTTGCCATTTTATTTTGCAAATATTCCATATCAAATCAAAAACCAAACTCACTGACATCCAATCGATTCCAACTCATAGCGACCCCCCAGGCAGTAAATCTTTACAGAAGTAGATTGCCCCATCTTTGTTCTGCAGATGGCTGGTGGGTTCGAACCACGGACCTTCTGGTTAGCAGTAAAATGCCTTAGGTACTGCACCACCAGAACTCCTCATCTGCTAAGTACCAGGCACTTTTCTTCCTGTTTTTGTAGAGCTCACAAATAGTAGAGGGGGCAGGGAAACAGACCATAAACAAAAAAATAAATAAACAAGCAGGATAATATCAATAGCAGTTAGGGCTATAAAGGGAGTAAGATCCCCTAATATAATAGAGGATGTTGGGGGAAGGGACATCATTAAATGAGTGGTCAGGGAAGGCCTTTCTGGGGAAGTGTCATTTCAGCAGAGACCTGAATAATGAAAAGAAACTAGTCGTGGAATCCAAGGTTGTGAGCCAGCGGGGAGAGGGACTAAAGACCTGGAGTACCCACCAAGGGGCTGTTCTGAGTGACGGCTTTCTGACCTTGTGTCCTTGAGGAATCTCCCTAGGGTTGGATTTCCTCTTCTCCCTTCTCCCTGGTCAGGACACTGTGCCCCCAACCTCTTTCTCCAGCCTGGCCTAGATTCTAAGATTCCTGATTATCATCCAGAGCTGTCTGCACTCTTTCATTACAACTGACTTTGCCTTGACACAGACTTTGCTGGCCCCCCACCAAGAGCACCTACAATGCCCTCATAGTGTCCCCTGCCTCTCTCACATCCCTTCAAATTTTTCCAGAGCTTGACAGCATACCCTGAAGCCCCCAGGCCTGGTCTGTCCATTCACTCCACCATATCTATCCACTGGACCGCTCTCTCGCTCTCTCTCTCTCTCTCCCTGTTTCTTTCTTTTTTCTTTTAACTAACATTTTTTGGCTGCTGATAGTCTGCCAGTCACTGTGTTAGGCAGTTCACAGGGAGTCTAAAGAGGAATAAGACTTGGTTCTGACCCTGGAGAGCTGAGGTCTTGGGAGCAAAGTAGACACTTAAAATGCTTTAACCAAGGAACCTGGTTGCTAGTTCTGTCAAGGATATCAGAAAGAGAGGCAAGTTATTAGGGATGCGTGAACTTGAACAATCAGTTATCATTGAGTTGATTCTAAGTCATGGTGACGCTATATGTGTCACAGTATAAGCGTTGGATGTTTCTTTTTCCTTTTTTCAAAGTTTATTTATTTTATTGTTGTTGCAAATATACACAGCAAAACATACAGCATTTCAACAGTTTCTGCATGTCCAATTTAGTGACAGTGATTACATTCTTCGAGTTGTGCAACCACTCTTACCCTCTTTTTCTGAGTTGTTCTTCCGTCATTAACATAAACTCATTGCTCCCTAAAATTATGGTCTAATTTTTCAAGTTGCTGTTATCAATTTGATCCCACATAGAGAGTTTTTTTTTTTTTTAATTGTGATTTGGGTGAAAATTTACAGAGCAAATTCACTTTCCATACAGCAGTTCACATACACTTTGTCTCATGACATT